TGACGAAAATGATAATAATAGTGATATAATTAATGATAATCATATATAATAGCACATAATAGTTATGATACTGATAACAGTAGTAATAATGATAATAATGATGATAAAATAATATAATAATAATATAATGATTATGATAAAATAATGATAATTATTATGATGATAGTAATAATGATATTAATGAGTGATAATGATAGTGATTATCATATTATTACTGTTATCATTATTATTACTTTATTATTTTTTATGATTATTGTCATTTCATAATTATTATCATCATTATTATCATCTTTACTATTATCATCATTATCATTATCATTATCATTTATCATATTCATCATTATGCTATATTATCAAATCATTATCATATCATTACCTTTCGTTTTATCACCATTATCATTAATATCTTTTTATAGTATCATCATTGTTGATATTACATACATTAGTTTATCATCATCAATAGTAATAACAATAATAATAGAGATAAAAACAATATAATAACGATCATAATAGATTTAAGAATTTTCGAAAAAGAAGAAAATAGAAAAAAAAACTTACTTGTACTTTCTGAGAAGCTGCCTCCTTGCCTTCAGCACTTGCCTATTGCTCAAATAATCAATGAACAAGACAGCGCCGTGAAAGGTATAACGAGACGGCGTTCTAGAATATAACGAAGGCGGCGACACACTGTGCTAGGAGCCGGCGCTGCAGACAGGGAGGAAAATATATCACATGCGGTCGGACGAGGAGGGTCGCCTTATCACGAGATAACAGCTGATTACAAGGGAGGGGGAGGGGGGAGAGGGAGGGTTTGAGGGGGCGAGAGAGAGAGGGGGGGGATGGGAGGGGGTAGGGGTTGTTTGTCTCTGGAGGTACTTGAGGTCACATGAGTGTTTATTATCTGTTTTTCTTCTTTTTTTGGGCAACAAGTTGGCAATAATGCATAATTTCCTCACTTCCGGCAACCTCTGATAGCGGATGAGCTGGCGTTTCGAGAGAAAAGCTTGAGTTTGGATTGTCTTCTGAGAGTGACATTCTGAGGAGAGCCTTGGAGTTCGATGTTCATCATGGTTACTTTATGTAAGGAAATATACAATAGGCATTTTTCTCATTTTTTCGCTTTCCTATATACTATGTATATATACATATGATCTATCTATATCCATCTATGTCTATATCTATATCTACATCTATGTCTATATCTATATCTACATCTATGTCTATATCTATATCTATGTCTATATATTATATATATTATATATATATATATATATTATACATATATATATATACTATACATACACACACAACACACACACACACACACCACACACACACACACACACACACACACACACCACACACACACACACACACACACAATATATATATATATATATATATATATATATATATATATATATAATATATATATATATCTTTATTTTTTTATGGATATTTTTATATACGTGTGTGAGTGTGTGAGACAGAGTGTGTGTATGTATGTGTGTGTATATAATATATATATGTTATATTAATATATATATATATATATATATATATTTATATATATATTATATATATTTATAGTATTATGTTGTGTGTGTGTGTGTGTGTGTGTGTGTGGTTATACTTCGATAGTCATACCCAATAATGTAGTGTGGTCGCTAGATATAATTTGTGCTCCTGACCTATTACCATCCCCGATGGCGTGCGGTGATGCACATCGTATATAGAGATAGAGTGTTGAAAGCTACATCTCTCCTCCTCATCATATTTGTAATACATATATATAATTGTATGCATCCTACATATAATATAATACCATATAGTACATTCAGCCCATGATGGATATATTACTGTATTACATTGTATTATATTTTTTATACTATTATTACTATAATATATATCTATATATCTTTATATTATGAATACATATCATATTAGCTATCGTATGATACTGTAGTATATATAAGTTTTTAATAACTATATATTAATATACTATACTATATTTAATGATATCGCCTTACACTAGATAACCTTTATATATATATGGTTATAATATATATATCACATTATATATATAAATTTATATAAGTATATGGACCTTATATTCACAATAATCCTATATACGTTTAGCACTCACTCTCACAACTAAAATTGTCATCTCCTCCGCTATGCTCCTAACAACGTGAATTAATTACTACATGAGACACGCGACCCTCAACCGCAAAGCTGACTAGCGTGTGGCCTCTACATGTGTTCGTATATATCATGCCAGTACATTGCCTTACCGTCCTACTATGTGTGATATGCTGTGTGTGTGTGGTGACTGGTCGTCTCGCTTCGATATCTGTGTAGTGTGTGTCAGTGTGTGTGCTGTGTGTCGTTGTGTGTGCTGTGTGTCGTGTGTGTGTGTGTATGTTAAATATATACAATAAACTTAGATACATATACATATATATCTATATCTATATTGTGTGTGCTGGTATATAAATAT